AAAGTTAAATGAGCATAACAACAAAACTTAATAAGGATGGAGTTAAATATATTGGTGCTATGCTATGTAAGCCTATGATGTATGGTTTGAAAATATTTGCTTAAATGTCTATCATTGTTGAATATTGTTTTGAATGCTTTTCAATAGAATTTATGTGCAAAAATATGATATTGTGTTTGAATGGGTTAACACTTTGGACATATTATTCACCAAGCTATTGATAAAGATTGCTTTAACACTCTTAAAAGCTTAGATTAATTAAATGCACTTTAATTGATTCTCATGCCTAGTTCTTGATTAGATTAATGGTTTTTGATGCATGAATATTTGCTTAAGATAATTCTTTGAATTTGGCTATGAGTTGACTATATTAATCCTTGATCTTTAAATTGCTTTGACTCATTATGAATTCATAATTTAAAATTTATATATATGTTCATTGATTGAGACCATTGAGATAGCATAAACCAAATTATGTATAAATGTTTGAATCTTTTTGAGTTGGGTATATTGCTATATGTGATTTGAAATTTATATACATATGCTTGTATGGTTTTGTTTGAAATATACTTTTGAATTATTCTTAAGTGCTTGCATATGCTAGTATAACATGAAGATTGGACTAATGACATGCTTGCATTGGTTATTACATAAATATGAGTTATGGTTCTTGTTGAATATTTATTTGGATAGGATATACTTATGAAAGGTTGTTTTTATCATTATTGATGGAATCTTTCATATGTTTGAGATATGTTTTCTTTTTGAAAGTTGAGTTAATAGCACCTATAGTCCTTAAATTGTGACCAAAATTCTATTTTAGTCCTTAAGCTTTAAAAAGTTTTAATCAGATCTCTAATTGCCCATAGTTGTCCCATTTTGGTCATTTCATCTATGAAACTATTTAAATTGACAACAAATACCAACTAGTACTATATAATAACATTAGCTAGCATTTCTTCTGGTAGATGAGGGACCAAATAGAATTCTCACAAAGTTTAGGGATCAAAGATGAAATTATCTCAAAATTTTATATATTACATGCATATCTTATAAAAATATTAAATTTAAAATTAAATTTACATATTTTTTTATAATATAACTTATTAGATAGGTTTTGTTTTAAATACAAAATATTATTCAAAACTTAAAATTAAGTTAAAATTTTCAAATTTCTTTTTTAAAATTTAATACATTTTAAAAATAAAAAATTTTTATTAAAAATATTATTTTACTCATAAGTCATAATAAAACATATTATTTTTATCCAAAAAATTTATTTTTCAAAATATTAAATATCTTTTATTTTTCCTTTTTAAATATATTTTATAAAATATGTTTTATAAAAAAGAAAAAAAGAAAAATGTTTTAAATTATATTTTTATTATATGTATATATAAAGTTTTTATATTTTTGAATAGATTAATAAATTTATTTTTGAAAATGAACTAAAAATTTTTACATAATTTTTGTACATGATATAAAGTTTTTATTTAATTTCTTAAACCAACAAAAAAATTTTATCGAATTTTAAAATGATATATAATTTTAACCAAATTATTTTAAAATTTTCAACTTAATTTTAATTTTTTAAAAATATATTTTCCTTTAAAATATTATTTTATTAATAATCATATTATTATAACAATTAAAAATATTTTAAATTATAATATTTTATAAAATATATTTTAAATATATAAGAATAATTTTTTTCTTGAATTATTTTTATCTTTCCTTTATTTATTTTTTATAAAATATATTTGAAAAGGAAAAATAAAAGATATTTAATATTTTAAATATATATTTTATGGATAAGAAATAATATTTTTATTATGATTTATGAGTAAAATAATATTTTTAATAGAAAAATATATATTTTTTTAAAATGATATTCAATTTTAAAAAAATTTTTTCAATTTTTGACTTAATTTTAATTTTTAAAAAATAGTTTTTATTAAAAACAAAAATACAACTAATAATTATATTACAACAAAAAATATAAAAATATAATTGTAAATTTAATGTTTTATAAAATATATGAAATATATAAAATTTTGAGATAATTTCATCTTTGGTCCCTAAACTTTTAGAGAATTTTATTTTGGGTCCCTCATTTGCCACATGAGTAGCTAACTGATATATCACGTGATGCTACCAAGCATTTGTCGTCAATTAAGATGGTTCTATAAACAAAAAGATCAAAATAGGACAATTTTGGGTAATTAAGGATCTGATTAGAACTTTTTAAAGTTTAGGGAGCAAAGTAAAATTTAGGTCAAAGTTTAGGGACTACAAGTGTTATTAACGTATCAGTCTGGAGACTTGATATCTAGACATAATAATTTAAAATTGTGAAAATACGGAGAGTCACTAGAAATTTTTTTTAGGGTGTGATTGACCACTCAAAAAATTTATCTTTCTAATAAAACGTTAAAATAGGTTTAAAGTTTATTTAAAATATAATTTCGATTTACGAAAACAGGATTGGATTTGGGAGTTGGTTACGCGTAATAAAGGATTAGCACCCTCACGACGCCCACAAAATTGGTACCAATTAATTATGCGCTATTTATAAATTTGGAGAAAAATGATTTTTATATGAAATTTAATTATAATTCTCTTCATTTAAAAAAGTAAAATTATTTAAAAATCTTTATTTAGTAACTTTGTGAAAATCTATAAATTAAAGGAATACCTTAAACATCTCCGACATAAAGGCAGAATTTGAATATAATCCTTTTCGTCTAAGATTTAATGTAACATTTCCTAGAAAATAAAAATAATATTCTTTAAAAATGATAATTGTTGGTGACTTTCTAACATCTAGATAGATTACAAAAGATTACATACTTCATAATATTATTTTAAATACATTTTATTTAATTTTTTGAAATCAATTTTTTTCAAGGAAGTTTTTTATGCAATAAAAATGGAAAGACTATAATAAACCATAGACAACAATAATTGAAATGCATGTATATGCATAGTGAGTGCAAGAAAATAAATACAAGCAAATGTGTCTTAAATGATGAGGAGATAAAATTTAAGACCATTTCAGATTGTGTTTTAAATATAAAAAGACCACCTAGACTCTTTAATATTTAAGCAGAATTTAGATGCAACATTTTATATTTAAAATCTTTTTTTTTTCATTTTTCTTCTTTATATTTTAATTGAATTTTATTATTTTAGGATTAAGGAATTATATAAAAATTTTAATGAAATAAAATTTTCTAAATACCTAGGTGATATTCAAAAATAAATTACTTCACAACATATTTCATATAAATTCTTGAACTTTGGGATAGTCTCGAAGTTTTGATTGAATTAACGATTTTGGACTTCACCTAATGTTAAGGGTTTTAAAGCTTTATTTAGCACTTTAATTTTAAGGTTTTGGTTTCGGGTTTTAATTTAAGGTTTCGGTTTAAGGTTAGGGTTTCATCTAGGCTTTTGATTTAAAAGTTTATGAACCTTTCTAAAAATTTCCAACATTTAAATAGACTTTTGGAGCAAGTTTGTTTTTTGTAATTTTTCTAAAAAAATTAGATTTTTTTATATTTTCATATATATATATATATTTTAAATTATTATTATTTATCTATTTTTCTAAAAAGAATGGATTTATACTTCTATTTATTTTCCTTTTCATTAATCATCATCATCATCATTATTATTATTTATTAATCTTTTATTATTTTATTTTTAATATTTAATAATTCTCCAACATTTAATTAGAATTGTTATTATATATATTTAAAATATGATTTTTTATTCCTTCCTCTACCTAGACGGGAATTTTAAAATTTTTAGTCATACCTTTTAACTTTTAATAGACATTTATATTATATTACTTATTTCTATGATTATTATTATTTTTAAGCCTACTAATCGAGCTTATTATAACAATTACATGCCCAAAAATATAAGGCCAAACCCAATCTCACCATTTCCAAGATTTTTTATATTTATCATATCCCTTTTCTATCTAACACTAGAAACAGAAAAGGACGATTGTACCTACAAGATGCATATGCCTAATCCAAACCAAGACATATAAACAGAAAGGTATTAAACATTTCTATTTCCTCCAAACCATGCCATGCAAAGGAAGAATAAAAGAACAGTAAATAAATAAAACAATGAAGCAAAATATACCAAACCATAAAGTGGGAACAATGAACAGTAACACATGAATCCCAACTATTCCTTGTTTCCATCCTTTGTTCTTATGAAAATGGCATATAATAGAATATAGAAAACATGATTTCGAATAAAAAATAGTAAACCAGAAAACCAACCCATATCCAATGGATGTCAGAACAAAGCTAAAAAAGCTCTTCTTTTGTTTTTGCAGGAGGCACCCTTCTAAGTTGGCCTCCGTTTTTGGTTTTCCTAAACAAGGTTATCATAATGTTTTTACGCCAATCACCGAGGAAGAACTGTGAACTTTTTTATAAGCCTTAACTATCGCATAGAAAAGAAAACTATGCGCAAGAAAAAAACTATGGAGTAAAAGGAAGTAAACTTCAAACTTCCATGGAAAGGAAAAAAACAACAAAAAGTTGCAGAATGGTACCTTCCCTTTTCTTCAAATTTGCTGCCTTCTTTTCAGCCAGATTCCCGCTCCAGCTTCTTTCTTTTTTCTGCTTCTTTTCTTTTTTTTTTTTTCCCTAGTATTTCGTTTGCTTTTTTACTGTTTTCTTGCTACTTCCAGTTCCATATTTCTGCTCGTTCTTTTTTGTTTTGGCTCCTGTCTTTCACCTCACATACTGCTTTCAAGTTCTGCTACCTCGTTGCTGCCCCTTTGCCGCTCTTCATGTCTGTTTCAGTTATTTTCTGCTGCTGCTTCTTTTTTTTTTTTTTTTTTTTAAACCCTACAGCCTCACGTTTGTTTGTTTTCTCGCTACTGCCCCTCACGAGCTTTAGTTCTTTTTCTGGTTGCTTTTTCGCTCTACTCTGCTCAGGCTTTTTTCAGCTGCATTTTCCTTTTAGTTGTCCTACAAATGGTTGAGAGTCTTCTGGTTTTTCTGGTTTTTCTTCTTAGCGCCCAGCTTCTCTTTTTTCTCCTGTTTTGCGTTTTTTCTAGTCCCTGTTTCTGCTCTGTTTTTCCTTTGCTGCGTGGTGCCTCTCCCGCATGAATGGCCTCCTTTTTTTTTTTTTTTTTTTCTCTCTCTCCTTGCTTCTTTCCTCTGCCCTGCCTGGCTCCACGTTCTCACAGTTTCTGAGTCCTCCTTCCCTGTTTCAGCACATGAAAAAGCGTCTCCCTTTTTGCCACCTTTTTTTTTTTTTTGGTTTTTCTGATTTCCTCTTCCGTTCCAGGTACCTCTTCTGCTTCTAGTTTCTGTTTTTTCTTTTTTCCCTTTGGCTTCACGTTCTTCCTTCCTTCTTTGTTTTCTGCATCTATTTTCTTTTTTTCTTCTCCCACCGGTTGCTTTCCCCGTTCTTCTTGGTCCACGCTTCCTTTCAACCCAGGCGTCCTCCTTCTGCCTCACCGTTTGCGAGAGCTTCCTCTCTTCTTTTTTTTTTTTTTTTGCTTCCAGCCTTCGTCTTTCCAGGCCCTCAAAACCGTCCATGAATGCTTCATTTTCATGCCACGAAACCATGCAGTTTTCTTCTATTTCTTTTGCAGCCGTTTTCCTTTTCAATTCACATGTTGCATGCCATACACATGCATGATTTCTTTTCATATTCCATGCATGATTTCATTTGGGCCAAGAGAGCCACATGGGCCAAGTGGCCCATTCGGGTTTTTGTATATTTATTAATTAATTATTTAATTAATTAATATTATTATTATATATTTTTTGGCCTTTATTCATTTGTTTTATTTGTATCAGTTGGGCTCTTAAATTTTTATTTTATATATTATATATATTTTTGACCCAGCTTTTTTATTTTTATACCTTTATATTTATATTATATTATTATTATTTGGTTTTTTATATCTTTATTTTGATTCTTTGTTAATGGCCAACAACGGGCCATTTTGGGCATTCCCTTGGGCATATATAATGGGTCTCACCATGGAGCCCACATCGAGTCTCATTGAGCATTTTAAAAAAAGAATCATTAATGGGTCTAAAAAATTGATCATCAAAGCCCAATTACAAAAATAAGCTTAGACTAAAAAAATAAAATATCCCAAGACAAAATTAGGTGTCTACATTAACCCTTGAACGTTAGTGGACAAAATTGCTAATGAATTTTTGCACTTTCATAGATGCTTGTGCTTCTAATGTATGTGCTTGATATAAAGTATGCCTATCCTTGATATAGTTTATATCTTTCATGTAAAAATTATATATGCCTTAACTTGACCACTCCTTTTGTTAAAAAGGGAAGAAGTCTTATAATATAATTTTGCTTGAATAAAATGATTATTTATGTGATAACATAAAATTTAGCATAAGTTTAAATATATGTGCTTGAATATAAGCATATATGATATTGATGTTTTAAATTCTAAGCACATTTTATAATGACTTGATTTATGAGACATGTATCATTTTTCTATTTTTTTTGTCATGAATGCCATGTAATGAATTTGTAACTTTTGTGCTAAAATGTTAAAATTGGATACAGTGAAATATTTATACTATTGTACTTGAATACATGTATTTGATCTTCATTATGCTTATTGTGCTTAAATACGTGAATTCATTATGCTCTTGATTGGAAATATTTCTTGGAATTATTTGCTCTTGACTATTGTCGTATGCATTGAATTGATCTCCTTTTTATTATGACAAAAAGGAAGAAAAATATTTGTTGGACAAATTTGCTTTCATACAATACATAGGTGTTTAAATGAATATGTAGATGGCATATTATGAATCTATGTGCTTAAAAGAAACATATGCTTCAATACATATATATGTGCCTAATAGATATACTTGCTTTGACATATATGTATGTTGGATAATAAGTGTTGGATTAGGATAAGAAATACATTTAGTTAAGGGAGAATTTTGCAAGGAAACATGCATGATTTAAAAGAGAGTTTTTCAAAATGGTTTTCAAAATTCTAAAATGTTTCAAAAGGAATTTTTCATCAAGTAAATTTATCTTTATGTTTTGTCATATCAAAAGAAGGAGACTGTTATCCTTAAATTGATTTTTATTTTTAAATGACAAAACAATAACCTAAATAAGTTTGATTAAAATTTTGAAAAATATTTATTTAGTCCATATTCTTAAGTTCTATTATTTTTTTATTAAATAAATAATAAGTTTTTCAAAGTAATATTTAAAATGAAAAATATTTTGAAAAAAATTTAGATTTTGGAAGAGGTTTATTTAGTACATGATTCTTATAATATATTATTTTGGTACTAAATAAATATTATTTCTTTCAAAAAATTTTATTGTATTTGAAAAAATATCTAGGAAAACTATTTTTAAAGATTGGTCTAAATGTTTATATCACAAATACAAATTTCCATGCTTGACAATTATTTGTAAAATATTTCTCAAAGTTTAAACAAAACTTTCTTCATTTTCTTTTTCTAATTTCTCAATCCAAAACTATTTTAAAGATTATTTATTTAAGTTTAAATGAAAATTCAATTGTTTATTTTAAAGTGAATTTATTCATCTTGGACTGAACATGATTTTGATAATGTTGGTTTTGAGAAATCAATTAATTGGAAAAAGTTGTTTTGTAAGAAGAAAATTTTTCAACATTGATTTTTTTTTGTCTTAATTTATAAAGTTTTAATATTCAAATTTTATATGGTTGAAAAGCAATTTGAGTCTACTTTCTAATGGGCTAAACAAAATTGAAATCCAAATTTTCTAAGAGTGGATAATGATTTTGTACTAAAGACTATTAATGTTGTTTAACAATTGCACAAGAGTTAGATTCGAAAATTCATTATAATTTTTATACATTGAATTAGATGTTAGATTTTATATGGATAGAAAGCCCTTTAAGTTTAGTTTTTAAATCTTAAACATATTATGATTTGGATTAATATAATTCAAGATATGATCAAATTAGTAAATAGAGTGCAAAGTAAGATTTAAGGGAGCCAACTACCCTATCAAGGAACTGACTTTTATTTCATTTAGAATCACCTCAAATGCAAAATTAGCATGACTTGATCGATATAGTATAAAAATGGATTGATCCCCTAGCCTAAAATGTTTAAAATTTGAATGAAATTCATGACCCAATTGATCTAATAATGGATCAAATCAATCCTTTAGTCCTAGACAACCTTTAACAGTTACTTTGAAAAAAGAACAAGCTTGAATTTCTTCACCAAATCAATTCCCAATGCCTACAAAATTTTTTCATCTACAGAAGGGACTTTTCCAACACCACCAAAGCCAAGAATGAACATTTAATAAGCATTCAATGAAAATCCTTAAGGAATTCAAGTGTTTTTAAATATTAAATTCTTTATCCTTTGTATTTGTTGTATCAAGCCATATTAGTCTCTCATTGTAGTTAACCTTTTAGAGGTATTCCATAGTTTGCAAATTTCTTTGTATTCAAAGAGGATTTTTGGTTCAAGGGGTGAGGTATCCTCTTGAGTGAAATTGTAGAATGGATTGGGTAGAATCCTATAAAGGGTAGAGGTTTCTATCTTGACCTTGAAAGATAAGGATTGTATTTTGTAAGAGATTTTTCTATTAATGGATTATGCTTGGCTAGGATAGCTAGGGAAGAAGACGTAGGTGCCTTTGGAGAAGGATTAAACCTCTATAAACTCTTGTGTATAATTTCTTTATCCCTAACTCTTTTTTTATTGTTATTTTTTTGTGTTTTAATTTCATATATTTCTTATATTTTTAATTTCTCAATTTACATTTTTTTAAAATTTATTTTTGGGAAAGAATTTGGAGACAATTCAATTCACCCCATCTTGAATTGTTATCTACACTTAAGCTAATAGTAGTTTTTTTTCCTTAGGTTTACATGTTTTATTGATAGATAATGAAATTAATGAAAAAACGAAAAAAAAAATTTATAAAGAACTTTTTAAAGATTTGATTCCAACTTTATGTTTGTGGTTGGATCTAACAAATTCCAATATCCTTTTATGGGTTTTTATGGTATGCTCACCAGAAGGATTATAGAGACTGAAATGCTATACATGGTTTAGGTATTCATTCATTTTTGAAATCTTGGTTTTCTTTGTTTTTGTTTATAAATATGTTTACTACTTCAATCAATTTACTATTAATATTATATTATTGTGTATGGGGTGAAGTGCTTTGAGAGAAAGTGTTTGTTGGTTTCTGATGACGTTGAGCATGGTTGGAATTGTTACGGATACAAGAATTGATTTGAAGAGCTAACTCATGTATGCTTTTTCATTTTACCAAAGTATTTTGTGTTTTATTGAAAGAATACTCTTTCAATCAATGTTAATGTTAGGGGTGAGAAAAAATTGAGAAAATTGAAAATTGATTCGAAATTATAGTGTTCAATTCGATTTGGATTGATTTTTTGTTATTCAGTTCAGTTTAAATTCAAATATTAAATATTTTTATTAGATTTGAATCGAAATTTGGAGAAATGAAAAAACCAAAAATATCCAAATTAAATCGGATTACATATTTTTATTAGTTATATATATATATATTAAATTTTTATAAAATAAAATAATTATTTTATATCTGAATCTATTTAAATATATTAAAAATTATATTAAAATAATATATCAAAAAATAAAAATTTAAAATTTAAAAAATTAATGAGCTGAATTGAATAAGTGGAATTTGATTTGGATTAGATTGGTTTAAAGGGAAGATAAGTTTGGATTTGGATTAGATTTCAAAATTCCATAATACTACACATTATTCAAAAAAACTGAATTGAATTTGATCCAATCCGAACCATTAGCACTTTTAGTTCATGCATATAACATGTTGTCTTGTTTTGATTTTAAGGATGGTGGTGAATTGGTTAAAGAAATTGCACTACTTTGAATTTGAGCAATTTGTGGTCTACTTAAATACATTTGATTGATCTATTCATTGTAAATCATTGATTCATTATTTCATTGATCTAAAGAACCTTACTATATGTTTAGTTTATTTTTAATTTGTGAATTATATGCATGTTACTAAGTTTAGTGGCCAATAGCCTAGAATGGAGGTGTATGCTTTTCTTATGCATTGGAATTTGGAAGGTTTCTCAAAAAAGTATTTTCAAAGCATTTTTTGCTATGATGGCCTTTAATGGTGATGCTCAAACATCACAAATATATGGATCATACAAGTGATATGATGATTGAGTGAAAGAATATTGTCTTTATAGGGACTGATTGTTAACTTAGAGCTAAGTACCAAAATTAGGCACTTAAGTTATATTTAGCTATAAAGAAAGTTTAAAGAAATGATTAACCTATACCTAATTTACCCTAAGTGATTGCACGAAATTAACCCTAAACAAATCACTAGCAAATTTCAAAATTAACCAGCCAAAATTAAAAGTAAACTTACTATTAAAGTGAGAATCCTAAGGTGATTTAGGGTAAGGCTTTAAATAAAATCTAACTAACATGAATTTAAAAGAAGGCAAATAAAATGCATGAAGATAAATCAACTCAACATGAATGTAATTAAACTTAAGATAAAATATGGCATGTAA